AACTAAGTACTTGTGCAAGTCAATTCATGCCGACTACATATTGAATATATGTGCTGCCAGCCCCAGCTTTGCTGGTGATCTTGAGTAGAAGTTAACAAACAGTGCTTAAGGCAACCCTTTTCTTGCCTTTGTGTACAGAAACTGCTGCCATATGTGCACAATTCATAAACTGCATAATAATTTGTAATCAGTCAAAGACAAAAGCAGTTTATCTGCAGAGGCTTTGTTAATTACCATCGGTCACCATGATCTCACCTTATATATATGTAAAGTGAATCTAGGCTGCCAAACACAGCTTAAACATACTTTCATGCTTTCTATGACAGTCACATGTTACTGTTCTCTTCAGAACAGTAGGTGTAATGTCAGTGGTCCAGAGGGAACAGGGAAGGGGGGGCATAGTGATATGAGAGATGAAGATGAGGGCTACCGTGTTAACTTTTAATTAAAAAAGTAGAAATTTGCTTTGAAATAGCTGATGGAGCAGATTATGAATCTACCAGTATTTTCTTGCGGAACTGAAACTTAATTTTATGAGAAAAGAAACCTGCCTCATTTGCAACACGGATTTTCCACCATAAAGTTTTAAATGACACACACAGGGAAGGGCTCGTAAATAGGAAATGTTACCAGTTCTCCCTGAGCTGCTCTTATTGTAAAGTGGACTTAGCACCGTAAATCATTTTTTAATGTTACATGAATGCTAAGTCATGATTAAGTGCAACACTTGCAGGTATTTATTTCCTCTCAAAAAGATCGCAGTACTATCCCCTTAAGCAGGCCATACAAGAATTTGTTCAGTGGGTGTCTCTGTCTGCACCCTTACTTCTGGCTTCCTTTGAAGATTTGAAAATCAAGAGAGACGCATGGAAAATTTTCAGTCGAACAGTGATGGCAGCTAATCAGCTGCCGTCACTGTTCGGGTATATTTACAGTGGCACACAGCTTGAAGTGACAGTGTCCCCAGTAGCAGGGCCCACAATGTGTTTGAAGATACATTTTCCTCAGCGCAGTGAACTCTGCAATGAGAAGAAAATGGTTAAAAATGAATCTGGAAATGTTATGTTGCATGATGGAATACCCTCTGTGGAAATACCTGGGCTAATAAAGCAAAGTGCTGACATAAATGGGATAGGGGTGACTAGTGAGGAAAGTGTGCAATTTCCCCTAGAAACAATGTCAGGTGAAGGTGTCCCTAGAGACCTGCAAGAGGCACGGAGTGCCGGTGCTATAGGTTTCTCAGGACAACTTTGGTGCTGCCTTGGTTAGCAAGTGTTCTCTCAAATATAGAAGAGAACATGCATGGTTAAATGAGTGCCACAGGCTTAGCATGTTGAAAATGTGTTTATGCAATCTGCTATGACTAAATATGTGGTGTAGCAAACTGACAGCATTCCTAGTAAAGTTGTGGAGCAGCTTATCGTCACTGAGTTGAAGAAGATTATGGTGGATATGGCATATAGCAATACTCTGGGAGAGCACCAGGCTAGTGTGTCAGGCACTAAGAAATGCACTGAGGTGGGTGATTGACTCCTTGGTAAATGCAGAGATAGAAGATTTAGGTGGTACAGTACCGTGTGGATGCAGGATGTCAATTTGGGCAAGAATGTCCCACACCGAGTCTTATAGTTCAGAGGCTGAGGAAGTTAGCCTACATCTCTGTGGGGCAGAGCTAAACGGGAGATTTGGGAGTGGTGTGCTCGTTAGGAATGTGAATTTTCTCCTTTCAGTGTTGCTAATTGACAAAAAATAACACAATTACACAAGCCAATACCTGCTTCTGCCAAAGTGGTTAAAATCGTAACCCTTTTAAAGTAGAATGAAAGTAAAAGTGTGGATATAAAGAAAACATCCCAATGTGAGCTGTGTAGTGTGGTGGCAGTCCATTTTAAATGCCATTTGGGCAGTAGGTTTCTCCATGCTAAAAAAGGCATGGGGGAAAAGTTTTTGCTAAGAAGCCATTCAGATGCAGACTTACTTTTGTTGGGATGGAACTAGTACAAGGCAGGAGAGTGCCCATGCGGGTGATAGATGGCAGAGATGTCCTGAGAAAGGTGGCAAAAGTTGCTGTCCTGATGGCGTTGAGAGAGGTTGGTCATTGTGTTTTCCGCCCCCCGGGTCAAAATAGAAGGGGATATGTTAGACAGGTAGTCAGTTAATGTGTGGAGATGCAGATGGTGTCTGTTGTAGCAGCGGAAGAGTCCCTAAAAAAGGTGTGAAGCTTATTGGAGTCAGGTGGGTGTTGTCCACAAGGGAAAGCATTATCTATTTGGATATTGCTCTTGTGTGGTGCACAAGCACATATGGGGAGCGTCTGTCTAGATTTTTCTGTTTAAGACACTCAATTTTTACTTTAAATTAAATTAAATTAATAAAATTAAACCCATTTTATTTTAAAACAGAATTCACTCACAGCTGCCCCTCCTGCCTCCTCTCTTGTTCCATCCCTGAAGAACTCTCTAGCACAAATGGTCAGAAGGTGGAGGAAAACCTGCCCTGATGCTGGTAACAGTCGGAGGAAAAATAGGGGGGGGCTTTGAAGTGTGCTTGGCACTCTGGATTGGACTAAGGAATGGAAGGAGCTGGGTGTCACTAGGGTTGGTGGAGGATGAGGGATCTGCAAGGGATTAGGTGACTCTGAAGCAGACTTGGTGGGCCTGTGGGTGATGTAGGTTCTGGAGGGGGCTGGATCAATTTGGGGGATATGGTCTATGAAGCTTCAGGGCTCCAAAGCTAAAGCTACCTGTGGGTCTCTGCAAGGGGCTGGGGGCTTTGAAAGAGGCTGGGGACACTGTGGGACACTGTTGGCAGTTTTGGGAGCTATGGGGTGCTGGGGGGCATTGGAAGGAGGTTGGTCTGTACTGTGGGAGGTTGGAGGGCACTTTGAGAGGTTAAGGGAGGTTACTCAGAGGGCTAGGGAATCTTGGAGGGCATGGAGGTACTGAGGAAGGCTGAGGGGCACTGTGAGAGGTTAGTGGATCTGCAGTTGGCCAGAGGCTCTTAGGGTGTTGGCGGGGGCAGTGGGGGCTAAATGCAGCAGATAATCAACTCGCTATTAACTTAATTCAGACCTGTGCAACAAAATAGTCAGGAGGCTGTAACATGTTTGTGTTTACTGTTATGCCAAACAACCCCTGTGTGGGCAGAACCCTGCTGTGTGGATCAATAAATTTGGGCAGGAGACCTAAAATGGATCCTGGTAATTGGACTGAGTCCTTGGAAAGCTTTCTTTTGAAGCGAAGTCTCACAGTATGGACAACAACAAAAAAATAAAGTTGGTTAGCATAGTTCGATCATTTTCCTGTATCATCATTGATATGAGATAACAAATGAAAAGTACAAAGACTTTTTGGTATATGTAATTTGCTCTGACAAATCTTTTAGTAAATCTGTGACATGCCCTTTTGAGCATTAGCATTCTGTTTAAAGAGTGAAAGCAGACTTAACCTTGCTCCTGTGCATCTTGCCTTTAGTCTTTGCTCTTTACTATAAAAAAAATACATAGTATATAATTTATATATTGTATAAACATGCTGCTTAAAATGACATATTGTATAATTTATATATTGTATAAACATGCTACTTGATAATAAATGACTATAGTTGTGCATTTTAAAACAGACCAAATATTTTATCCCAGTTATTGCTTTTTGTAATTTTGTTAATGGCCTGAAAGGTAGTGGTTTTTAATCCATCATTTGTAAATATAAACTGTTATTGCACAGGTTTGTTCACTTATAAAATATTGTAATGCGATCTCTTTTTACATTGTGTAGGATTTAAAATGTTCCATTCATTTTTGGATTTAAATGAGAAGCTTTGTCATCGCAAAATGCAGCGCCTGTGTGCAAAATGTAGCGTTTGATCAGATTTTGGTTTACTGTGTTAAACTTTTTAGCTGTAAACAACATATGGGTTACAGTGGAAGAAGTTGGCCAATTCAGTAAGACTTACATCAGCTGCATTCCCTTTTGCTATAAACTCATGATCACTTTAGTGACCATGAACATATACCAGAATGGTCCTCTAGACTCTTCTCACTAATGAATAGCTGTGTAATAAATGTCAATATTAAACATTTTATATACTTTGTTTTTTAGTAATCTTTTAAAACTAGGAAACAAAGTTATTTAATTATGTGAAAATTGTGTTGCTTGGAATTGTTTCTTGATGGAATACATTAGGGATGCATAGATACCAAGTACTGTACTTGGTACAAGTACAGATACTTTTCCAGCCACTAGACTATGGAAAAATTCAAAAGTTAACAACCCTAGTATTTCTCGTGAAAATGCCAAGTTTTGTACTGGTATCTGAACTGGTATCTGTGCATCCCTATAATAAATTCATGGGTATTAAAGGAGAACTATGAGGTGAGTGCTTTTCACTCACCTCATAGTTCTAGCCGACCTGTGACAATGAGACTGTCACAGGTCGGCTCAGTAGATCGGGAGGTGAGCGAACACATACCGGGTTCGCTCACCTCTCGATCCTGTCACGGCTCTCTGCCGTGACAGGGGGAGGGGCTGGATTCCCCTCTCCCAGCTCCGATCTGCCAGCGCTGACTGGCGGAACGGACGGGGGAGGGGGCGGGGACAGCTGGCTCTGCCTATCTAGAGGCAGAGCTCACGCAGCTGGGCAGATCCCGTCGTCTAAGTCGGGATCCGCTCCGGCTGCGGCGTCTCAGTATACCGCGAGCTGTAGCTCGCGGTATACTGAGCTTAAGGTAACGGTAACAGAGTTGTAAAATAGACGCTAGTTTGTGTCCTCCCGTTACCCTAAGGAGAACTATGGGGAAAAACACTGACCCCATAGTTCTCCTTTAAGGGATTCTGAAGTAATCATAGCACCAAATACATGTAACATTTGAATTAATTGTCTTTTCTTTATATTACCATTAAGCAGATTTTTGTACATTTATCTTTACACATTTGATAATAAGAATAATAAGGAACAAGATTAGCAGAAGTGGATAAATCCCTTTGTTTTATTCATTCTAGGAGCCTACGATCGTAGTGTGACTCTTCTGGAAGTGTGCGGGAGCTGGCCTGAGAGCTTTGGGTTGCGCCACATCTCTTCCATTGAAAGCACAGATGAAGGTCTCCGTGAACGGCTGGCTGATGCTATGTCCGAGTCCCCAAACCGAGATGTGGTGGTATCAGGAACAGGTACAAAAAAGAGGTGTGATATAAGGGCCCACAATTCTCTTTGAAACCATTCTTATAGTGTTTTATGTATTACATTGTTTTAAAGATTTTTGGCTTCATGGTTGTGTAGTATAATGAAATAAAAATTAGTCCTTGACCCTTAAAGCAAATCTGTGCTTTGCCAAATCAAATCAAAGCAAAGCATAAGGATTTATATAAGGCTCACCTTCGCTTTGCCATCGGTAGCTAAGAACGACCCAGTACTTCTAAGTATAGAGGAACATGTGGCTCCGTATGATAGTACAATCAGTTGTAAAATGGTGAGTCCATTTCCCTGTACTTCTACTTAACACAGGGCTTTCTTATCATTCCTAAAAGCTGTACAGAGTCACAAGGGAGCAAAAGGAAGATAAGTATATGCTAAGGGGGTGGTCTGCATTAAAATAAACCTGTTGTTTTGCCCTGCATGGCAAAGCACATGTTAATGTTAAGATAGTTCTTAGATTTTTAGATCTTAGATTCTTAGATTAGTTCATATTTAAGCTTAAAGGCAGACATGAGCATACCACTAAACAGACATTTATTTGAACACATGTCCTCTTAATGTATGTGCTGATGTTGCTTGAGCATGCATGTTAATGTCTATGCATGCATAATGTCTGCAAAGGATGTAAGGGGGGGATATCCAGTACTCCTGGTTTTATCTAAGTGGAAACAGTAGTGGTTGTCCAACCTAACGAATCACTAGTACCCTCTTGAATAATTCAACTATCATCTGATGCCTCTGGATATGTTTACAACATAAGAACACTTGCACAACAGGGAAAATACATTTGATATGTACTGTATGTCTGCCAGTATAGTCACTTCTACCAAAGTATTCTGACCAATACAAGAGGCCACCCTAGACTGTAGTGCCAAGTGTAGATTCATGGACGCATAGTTTCAAACATAACAATGCAATCATAATACATTAGTTTACACTTATACATATATAGAGGAATACGGAAAATTATTACCTTAAATTATTTTCTCACTTTGTTTATTAAAATCAAGTTTGACAAAAATCGTAATACTGCAGTCAAGGGCACAGCTCAATAAGTACACAATTGCTTCACAACACACAGGTAAGGGAGCAGAATCTAGCTGAAAGGATGGTCATACTAAAAACAATTTGACAAGGAACAGTAATGATAGGAGGACAGCCCCTTGGCACAAAGGTGGTGGGGATGACCTAACAGTTAGATGACCGATCTGTCAGATGAGATATATTCCAATGAGTAAAATTATGTAATTTTGTACTCAATGGGAGAGCAGGGTTTCAAAGCTGCCATTGCCTGGTGCAATAAATCCACATAGATTTTGAAAATTGCATAGTGTGTAGGAAAATTGCAGGAGAGTTATTCAACTCAGAAGTACATATACTAGGATGGACTGGATAAATATTTGAGAATGCCATCTGAGCCCAACAAGCCCAGAGTAGCCTCTTGGACCAGCCTAATACTTGGTGTAAGTGGTAATATTGAAGCCTGGGAAACAAGAGACCTCCCTGCTGTACATGGGCCTGGAGAATTCTACAACTGAACCTAGGTCTCCTGTTGTACAAAATAAATTTGTACATTCATACTGAAGTTTGGATGGACAAAGTTTAAGCAGTAGAGTAGAAAAAGAGATTTAAACAAAACATTTATTTTGAATGAAACCATACTACCTATCCATTGTAACCTGAGAAGAGGCTATATTATCTTAACTCTTGGTGTAAGTTGGGAAAAACAAGTATAGGGACTAGTGAGAGTGCAATATCATCTGCAAAAAGTGGGATTTCGAATTGCGAGTCTCTAATAGAAATACCACGGATATTCATATTATTAAGTATTTTGTCTGTAACGGGTTCAACGGAAAGGGCAACTAAGAGGGAAGAATGGGGGCAACACTGTTGGGTACCCATATATATCTAGAAAGATATATGGGTTCCAAAAGGGATGCAAATATTATCTGTTGGGGTGGAGTATATACCACCTAGGGCTAGAGAACATAAATGACCAATAGGGTTTTTAAAATCCTTCTTAGCATCAAGGCTGAAAAGGACGGAAGGCGTTTTGTGGATGTTAGCATAATTCACAATGTTAATGGCTCTGCGAGTATTGTTGCCAGGTTATTTGACTGGGTAATCCCGACTTACTTGCGGTGTATAAGAGAGGAAATAATTGTATTTGAAAGTAAGGATAATAATTTAGTAAAAATTCTCAAATCTGTGTTCAGAAGGAAAATGGGTTGATAGCTTTTACAATCCTGGGGATCTTTCCCTTATGGTCATATTGACTAAAAATGGTTGTATTTACTAAAATTTGTAACATACAAATGGGGTGGCCCTTTATGAAGGAGTAGAATAGTTTACAGAGCTTAGAGAGTAATAGATGGGAAAAATGCTAATAATGAGCGCTAGTGGACCTGTCAGTGTTTGGATAAAGAGTACAGATGACTTACATAGTCAGGTTGAAAGTCGAGTTCAATCTATAGAGATGGCATTGTGTATCTCCTGTAATTTGGGCATTCAGCATAGCCCACTGTTCGGGGAATAATTTAGATAGGCTATATTCAGCCAAATACTCCTTAAAGTGGCTGATCAGGAATGCATAGAGGAGGGTTTTTATGAGGATTATAAAGAGACTGATACTATTCAGTGAACTGGTTGTAAATTTCCCTTTGTCATGCGTAACACCACAGGTTTTGATAGAATAAACTGTAAGTAAGGCCTTAAGTTTGTGAAATTTCCTATACAGGGGAATGTGAGCCTTATTTCCCCTTTCATAAAAAGAGCATGGTTCACATTTATGTTGCTGGCCTGCAGCATTTGCTACTAATTTTCACTTTGCAAATAGTTGGCACTTTGTGATGCCATCATGGGCATGTAAGCTGCCAGCACACAAAAAGGCTGATGGAAATGTATAGAATATTGCAGACATTAGCAGTAGGGTTGTGAAATAAATTTACATTATGCTCTCTGTGGTCTGCACATCTCCTGAACTCCTCTTGGCTCTTTAATCCCAATGTAATCTATCTTTGAAATGTTCAGTTATATAGATAAATAATCTCATTTGTTTTCATAGATCTAATAAGCTGACCTCCCCACAAGAGGTTAAGAGATGTTAGAGACATTTATATATGTTGTGCTTTTACGATTCTTGTAGAGAAGCTTGCTTTCACTTAGTTATATCAGACAACATTTTACATGACATTAAAGACCTTCGCTTTTAGTACTACTGATTTACATATTCTTCCCTTCTTGTTTATTGTGTAAGTTATAAAATAATTAGTATGTAGTGACTGATCGAATTCAATAGTTGAAGTTTATTCTTGCTGCTCAATGCTTGTTGGATTATCTAAAAATACTCGGTCGTAGGGTGGTT